AGAAATAACTGGATGAAGGCAGTCAAAAGTTACTGCAGGCTTCCGGTTATAAGATAGATAAGTACTAGGGATGTAATCTACAATAAGAGAAATATAATTAACACTGATGTGTGTTACACATGAAAGTCGTTGAGAGTAAATCCTAAGAATGCTCATCACACAAAGTGTTTTTTATATTTCTTTAATTTTGTATCTGTGTGAGATGATGGATCCTCACTAACTTATTGTGGTAATCATTTCATGATGGATGTGAGTCAAATCATTATGCTGTGCATCTTAAACTTATACAGTGTTGTATTTCAGTTATACCTTAATAAAGCTAAAAGAAAAATAAAAATCAAGAAATTTAAGTTAAAATAAACTGGGAAGACCCAGAGGGATCGGGTGGAGAGGGAGGTGGGAGGGGGGACCGGGATGGGGAATACATGTAAATCCATGGCTAATTCATTTCAATGTATGACAAAAACCACTGCAATGTTGTAAAGTAATTAGCCTCCAACTAATAAAAATAAATGGAAAAAAAAATAAATTGAAATAAAAAGTTCCCTGGAAGCTCTGTATGCCTGTATAAAGGGTAGGGCTCGACTACGGTGAATTTACTAAAGGGTAGCTCCAGTTTTCATTAATTAACTGATGACAGTCTCTTAGGTCTTTACTTTTCCCCAGAGAAGAGTATTTCAAACTCTTCATCTTGGTTGCCAGTGTTGTAGGAGTCAAGTGAAGGAAGAATACTGAGCAGCTCAATATTCTTTATGTTAGGTTTCATGTATTGATAGATCTTCAATTTCAGTACCATTTCCCTATGCTTGTGTGGTAGATTAAAGGTGGCTGCAATTTTTTTGCTAGTCCTCCCACTTAGGGATGAAACCTAATTCCCCTTCTTTGAATCTGGGTTGGCCTTAGTGACTTCCATGAGCTATAGAATGCAATAGACATAACATTCAATAGCTGCCCAGCCTAAGTAATAAGAAGCCCAGTAACTTTTGCTTGGATTTCTTGGAGTATCCTTTTTGGGTGCCTTGCCCTGAACCTCCATAGGAAATCTGACCATCCTGATACTGCCATGCAGAGAGGGCATGTGTATGTGTTCTGATGGACAGTGCCAGCTATCAGCCTTCCAGTTCATCTTGCCATGGTGCCAGACATGTAAGTGAATCCTTCAGACTGGCCCAACTGCCAGCTGAATACTAACAAATGAACTTTCTAAAAAGTCTTACCTGGTGTATTTTTAAACATACACACACATACATATATATATACACACATACAGATATATACATGCACACACACATTTATATAAAAGTTCTTGGTATGTAACATAATGATTTGATATTTCTGTACATTTCAAAATGATCACCATGATAAGCCTAGCTGGCCTCTGTCACCATAAAAATATATTACATATTATTGATTGTATTCCCCACAATGTGACTCACTTCATACCTGTGACTCACTTATTTTGTAATTGAAAGTTTGTACCTCTTAACCTCCCTCATCCATTTCTCTCCTTCCCGCACCACTTCCCCACTGCAACCAGCTGTTTGTTCTCTGTATCTATGGCTCTGTTTCTGTTTGGTTATCTCTTTCATTTCTTTTGTCTTTTAGATTCCATATGTGAATGAAATCTTATATATGTATGCATGTGTGTGTGTACTCCATCGTGTCCAACTCTTTGTGACTTCATGGACTATAGCCTGCCAGGCTCCTCTGTCCATGGGATTTCCCAGGCAAGAATACTGGAATGGGTTGCTGTTTTCTTTTCCATGGGATCTTCCTGACACCCAGGGATTGAACCTGCATCTCTTGTGTCTCCAGCATTAGCAGGTGGATTCTCTACTACTGCACCAATTGGAAAGCCCGTGTGTATGTGTGTGTATATATGTGTGTGTGTGTGTGTGTATATATATATATATATATATATATATATATATATATAACTTATTCATTTATCTCTTGATGCGTACTTGGGTTGCTTTCATATCTTGGCTATTATAAATAATGCTGCAAGGAGCATAGAGGTGAATATATCTTTTCTAACTAGTGCTTTTGTTTCCTTCAGATAATTAGCCAGAGGTGGAACTGCTGGATCATACGGTGGTTTTATTTTTAATTTTTTGAGGAATCTCCATGCTGTTTTCTATAATGGCTGCACCAATTTACATTCCCACCCACAGTGCAGAAGTTCCCTTTTCTCCACATCCTCACTGTTACTTGTTGTCTTTTTGATAATAACTATTCTGACTCATGTGAGGCCAAGTGATTTTTGTTGATGTCACACAAAACAGAGGAACTGCCAAGGCCTGTTGAAATTCAGACCTACAAAATCACGAGATGTAAGAAAATGGCCACTGATTTTAGTCATCAAAATCTGTGTAGTTTATTGGTCAGCCTTAGATAGCCAGAACATCTTGACTATACCTTGTATGCCCCATTCCAGAGAGCCTCTGCTTTATCCCCTCCAGAGAATGTTTCCGATTTTCCACCCAAATGGGAGAGAGCAGTGACACCTGTGTAATATTGGGAAGTATGTGGAGGAGATTCATTGCTTCCAGTACATACTTAATGAAAAATCCTCCTGTTTTTTGTCATAATTACATACCTACTTTTAGAAGGACCTGGTGCAGCAATACCTGGGTTATCCTGGGTAAATCTATAATATCATGTTGCTTCTTGGCTTTCTCTACTCCTGTCTTAGGAGTCAGTTTTCTCGGGTCTGCTAAGTTAATTATTACCTGCAGTATCTGCTTTCCAGTTTCCAAAATTTAATTATTTTCCCTCTTTTGTTCTTGTGAGTTTTCTTAAATCTACTATTTAAAAAAATTTATTTAAGTATGTCTGATTTACAATGTTGTGTTAATTTCTGTCGAACAGCAAAGTGATTCAGTTATGCATATTCTTTTTCATATTGTTTCCATTATAGCTTATTACAGACAGGATATTGAATATAGTCCCTTGTGCTATATAGTAGGACCTTGTTGTTTATCCATCTTATTTATATGTAATAGTTCACATCTCCTAATTCCAAACTCCCAATCCTTCCCTCTCCCACCCTATTTTCACTTGACAACTACAAGTCTGTTCTCTAACTGTGAGGCTGTTTTCTGTTTTTTAGCTATATTCATTCATGTCATATTTTAGATTTCACATATAAGTGATATTATATGATATCTGTCTTTCTCTTTCTGACTTCACTTAATATGATAATCTCTAGGTCCATTCATGTTGGTATAATTGGCACTAGTTCATTCCTTTAAAAAAATCTACTATTGCTTGTGTCAGATTTCAAGAGGGAGCAATGCATTTGCTCATTCTATCTTTAATTAATTAGTTAATTTATTTGACTATCTGGGTCTTAGTTGCAACACTCCAGATCTTCATTGTGCCATGTGGGTTTTACTTGCAGTGGGAGGTTAGGGGATGCGGGAAGGGGTAGGAGGAGTGGGGTTGGGGTGGGCATGTGGGATCTAGAGGATCTAGCTCCTGCATCGGGAGTGTAGAGTCTTAGCCACTGGACCACCAGTGAAGTCCCCTGCTATTCTTAGTTTAAAGGCTTCTTTGAGTCTTTAATTTCAATGATTATACTAATTTTTAAATACTCATAAAATTTTTTAATTAAATAAAATAGAATACTTGTAGCTCAGGTGGCTTAGAAGCAAAGCCTGAGGCATAGATTCTTGTGTAATTGCTTTAGTGAGGGGATATTCTCAGGAAAATCTATGAGTCAAGCAGGATTGCACAGAGGAAGAAACAACACAGGAGTGGTTTCTGCAGAAATTTAGCCTCAGGCTAAGCCCATGGGAGCTCTGGAATAGGAAGGCTATCATAGATCAGTTCTTGGCCTTTTGTATCCTATAAAGTTAGCACTGACTGTGCTTCTCAACCCGGCATGAGGGTAGTTATGTGGGAGAAAAGGGCCGCTGTGAGTTGAGTACACCTGCCTAGTAAAGGTGACCTTGGCAGGGTGCATCTGCTCAATTTCCAACCTTTTATTTTTCACTTTTTAAGGAATAAGTAGTCTTTCTAATCCCTCTGAGAAAATGAATTAACCTTTTTTCATTATTTTTCCACTGTTTGTCTTGTTAACTTAGTTTCTTCCATGTTAGTTCATAAACTGAAGTTCAGAAACTTCAGAGTATCAAGCACAGAAAAGGGGGGCAAAATCCAAATCCGTCTGGTTCCAAAACCCATGCCTTTAACCATATTGTCACCCTCTTTAGCCGCATCTTAAGGAAATAATTTATCGTTACCTCTACAGCTATCAGGGTGCTAACAGCCACTTTATCTGTTGGATATAAAACACACTCTCCAAAACTTCCTACCTTCTGTTTAAAATAAAGTCCGAATTTACTTATATACCCAATGGGTTCATTTTGCAAGCACTCACGGAGTACCTGCCATGAACCAGCATGGTACTGGGTGTGCGTGCAATGACCACGTAGACCCAGTCAGTGTCTTCAGAGGCTCGAGTTCTGTAGGGGAGGCAGATACTAACATACAAGACTGTTTAAGAAGGGGTAGGAAGCTCTGCTTCAAGGCCGAACCTGGGAGCTACGGACCAGCAGCGAACACAGGTAATTTATAGGTAAAGAGAGAAAGCTCTGGAACTGCTCCAAACTCCCATTCCCAAAAGTTTCCCCAAGAAAGGGAACTCAGTTTTTCTCAAGGGAGAAGAGGAACGACTGGGAGCTTCGCGGGAATGTAAATGTGCCGTTCCACTTTCCACTTCGCCCTGAGAAAGTGCAGTGTCCCGCGGAGGAAGCTTTGACTCTGAGCGGCAATCCCGGCCGCGGTGGGCGCAGGGCGCGGGCAGGAGAGGCCCTGGGTGCGGGCCGGAGAGGCCCTGGGTGCGGGCCTCCGCCGCCCGGGCACCCGCAACCCGAGAGTTCCACTGCTCCGACTCGCGGGCCCCCGGGCGGGGCCGAAGCCGGGAGCGTCATCCCCTCCTCTTCGCACTCCAGGTGCGCTTCGCCCGCGGAGGACTTTCCGGTCTCGTGGGCAGAGGGACAACCAGGAACTTGGGCTCAGTCTCCTCCCCGAAGCGGGGCGGGTCCGTCCGGAATAAGACCCGCTGCCCGGCCCTGCCTGGGTGTGATCTCCGTGGCAGCAGAGAACGGGCGCCGTCCCATCTCGGTCTCTGGGGTAAGGGGGTCCCCGGGCCGGGGGTCCTGGGCTCCAGAAGGGGTGCGGCAGCTCGGGAGGGCCTCGCGGGGGTGGCCGGTCGGGCGCCTCGCCCAGGCGGAGGTGCCGGCGCCGGAACAGGGTGGAGCCGGCCGGGACTCGCTCCGGGTGGGGGAGCGGGAGGCAGACCCCGCCCGTATCCACCCGCCCCTCGCAGAAGGACCTCCAGAGCAGTGTGTGGAGCCTAGAATGTCAGAGGTCACTGCAGTTATTTATCGAGTTCATGTGCCAAGCGCTGTGCTGGATTTAGGCATTACAAAGAAAGGATTGAGTAATATTCCCTGGAACTGACTCTTAACACCCACGTTTTGCTTTTTTATTCTTTCTTTACTCCTTTAAAGAAACTTACTCCTTTCTCCTTGTCTCTTACTCTTTCTCTCCTTGTGGACCTAATGCCTTCAGTACAATGCCTGGCACATGGGAATCTGTTATTACTGTGAGATCCATGAACTGAGCCTGCGAATGGCCCAGTCTTACTCTGTGGTCGTGGCTTTGACCAGCTGGAGACTCTGGAACCAAAGAGGTTATTGCTTTTCAACAATCTGCCCAACTTTAAGTGCTTCCCAAATTGATGAAAGTCTTCTGTAAGCTGTTGGGAGCGTGTGAGACCTGAGTAACCCACAGCTTTCAGGAAAAGTGAGTATCTGCCTCTCTCTAGGTGACAGTGGGAAGAATGAATAGGATCCCCAGCCCACCCCCCCCACCCCACTCTCGTCTAAAGTGATGCATCCCATTGCCCATCAATTCTAGTACTCCCCGCCTCCTCCTTATATTGCAAGTAACTCTGTTGATAGGGAAGCTCTAGCTCTTTAGTTGCCATGGAATTCTCAGATGACAGAGGTGGAAGAGCAAGCAAGTGGGCAGGAATGAGGAAATGGGTAACCATAGCCGGCCAGGACCGGCTGACTTGCCAGGGTCCTTTCTGGTCAAGGCCAGGCCCCCTCCCTCAGCTTAGATCAGATTTCTTTTGCTTTGGGGATACACACATGAGTGCAAACACAGACAGACATACACGCAACTACTGGGTCAAAAGTGCTGTGAATTTCCTTCCTAGATATGCTTGCATTTGGTTAGGGATATTTTTTGTCTGAAAGCTTTTTAGAGAGTAACGTGTAGCCAAGTCTAAGCCAGCCCTCAGTGTCTGAAGGGGATGCTGAAAGGGTGATGACTACCTGGTCATTTCAAACTGTGGTTGGTGGCCCATTTCTTTTCTTGTATCTACCGCTCATCAGTTTTCCCAGTGCTTGCTCATCTGCTGGTAGACTAAGCCTGCTGTTCTCCAAGGGAGATGGAGGTGAGGGCAGGCACTCAAGTAACAGACGTTCTGCCAAAGAGTACCTGATGAATCAGAATAAAGGAGAGAGGGAATTTTCCTTGGTTGTCCAATTTTATCCAGATATTTGAGGATAAAAACGGTTTTTTTTAAATTAATTTATTTATTTTACTTTACAACATTGTATTGGTTTTGCCATATATTGACTTGAATCCAACATGGGTATACATGAGTTCCCCATCTAAAAACGCTTTTTATACTAAAACAATTACAGGTATATTTTGTGGTAGGATTCAAGTTTTAAATACTTTCTTTATATAAAAGAAGAAACTTCTAAAATTTTTGTTTGGACTTTGGGCTGTGATTTGGCCCAAACGTAAGCTTTGGGAGTTTGCTTTCACTGCAATGAGGGCTACTTATGGAGGCGGTTTGGTAGATGCTGCAGTGTCTTCCCTGGAAGGACTTTGAATAGCATGCTAGTTGTAGCATGTGGGATCCTCACAACATGCGTGACCTTTTGTTGTGGTGCTTGGGCTCAGTAGTTGCGACACTCAGGTTTAGTTGCCCTGCAGCGTGTGGGATCTTACTTCGCCGACCAGGCATCAAACATGTGCCCCTGCATTGGAGGACGAATTCTTAACCAGTGGACCATCAGGGAAGTCCCCTCATTTAATCCTTTTTTTTTTTCAGCCTGAGGCAGGATTATTAAACTTGTTTTACAGAAGAGATCCCAAGGCTCCAAGTGGCGGTACAAGGGTCGGACTCCTTGCAAAAAGATTTAAATCCAGCTGCTGGATACTGGCTTCCACAGTGGTAAAGAATTCACCTGCTAATACAGGAGACACGGGAGACTTGGGTTCAATCTCTGGGTCCGGAAGATCCCCTGGAGGAGGAAATGGCAACCCACTCTAGTATTCTTGCCTGAAAAATCCCATGGACAGAGGCATCTGGTGGGCTACCATCCATATGGTTGCAAAGAGTTGGACACAACTGAGCATGCACGTGTGTGTGTGCACATACACACACACAGTGGATACTAAAGCCTGTTCCCTTAAGCTCCCTGCCTTACTGTGGCTCTGTCAGTGCTTGGTTCAGAGTGATTTGGCATTTGGATTTGCAGCTTCCTGGTTTATAAACTAATCTTGACCAAATGTTTTTCTTTTCCTTTTCAACTTTCTTCTGGTCAAGCTGATATGTAAACTACGGTCAGAAGAACTGGAGCTGGCAGTAGTGTGGGGATACAGGTTAATGGCCCTAGATTCAGGAGGGACTTGGCTTGTGAATGAGGGAATCAGCTCACTGTTTGTGGCCCTGAGAAGAGCTGGGCAGGAGTGTTTTGGATGGCAGGTTCTGGTTGAATTTAAGGAAATGACTTTTGAAACCCATAGGCTGGATGGGTTTGGAGTTGGCAGGAGCTCTGTCACCAGAGATATCTGGGCAGAATCTCCACAGTCCCTTTCTGATGGAGCTGGGAAGGGGAGAAGGTTAAACTAAGATGACTTCTAAAGCCGTTGTTTCCAAACTTTGGGTGCATCCCCCTCGAAGCTTGCACAGCATACAGATTCTTGCCCCCAGAGTTCTGATGCAGTATGCCTGGGTGGGACCCAGGAATCTGCCTGTTGTGTTGATTTTATTGGGAGCAACTTGTTCAGTTATGTTTGAACTGGACAGAGAGCTTTGCTGTAGGAACCTGAACCACCACCTATGAAGAATTTGTCTTAAATGTTCAAGATGCTGAGATCAGTCAAATGCCTAGACACCATGTTAAGAATTGCCCTGAAATTTGGCAGTGTTTCCGAAAATTTTAAAATCCATTGACTTGTGTTCATGCATTTGAATACTAGGAATTTATCTGAAAGATATGGTTTGACATGCGTGTGAAAGGGCCTTCAGTTGGTGGGCAGAATGTCAGTGGCCCCGACCAAATGGATAAAGGTTCATTTATTTATTATACAATGTGACAGATGCTAGATATTCAAGGGTAAAATATCCAGACCCCATCCTTAGGGAGATAAACAAGCAAATCAACAATTAAAAACTCTTAGGACTGCATGAGAAGTGACTCAATACACTGTGCATAGCCTGCCATAGAACTGAGGAGGTGCATCTAACCCCATCATGGGTGATCAGAGAAGGCTTCCTGGAGGGGGAATGAGAATAATCTTGGAGGTGGGAATAGGAGAAGAAGGGCTTGTGCACAGGCATGGAGGAGTGCCATTCAGCCAGAGCAGGGCTAGTCCAGAGGCTTTTTTTGCCACACTGCACAGCATTTATAATTGGAGTTCCCCTATCATGGATTGGACCTGCACCCTCTGCACTGGAAACACAGAGGTCTAAGCACTGGATAGCCAGGGAGGTCCCCCAAATGACCCATTTTTAAAAATGATTGTTCCATTCTTTGTCTTCACTCCCATCATATCCTTAAACCAGCCAAACTTAATGCATTTAACCCTTGATGCATTTCCTGCCCAGTTGAAAAATCCACGTATCACTTTATACTTCCCACTTCCCCACCACCTTATCCTTTGTTCTTGGATATCTTGGGATCTACATTTGCAGATTCAGCCAACTGTGGATGGTGTAGTGGTGCAGCGGCATTTAGTGAAAAAAAACTCAGGTATAAGTTGTCCTGGGGAAGTTCAAACCTGTATTGCTCAAAGGTCAAATATTCTCTTTTCCAAATAAGTCTTACCAGTCATAATCAGAGCGGAAGCCTCATTTTTACTGTCTTCGCCTACAGACTCTTTGCTGTTAAAATCCTATCTGAGCCTTAATCAAATGAAATCTCTTTGACTCTCTTGGGTGGGGGAGTGAGGTGGGATTCCTTAGTCTGTAGTCTCTCCCTTCCGTGAAGTTCTCATGTTAATAGCTGCCGAGTGCTGCTTTGTCATTGGGTTGGCTATGTACTAGTTTTGTTTCTCTTACAGGCTTACATGCTCCTTGAGAGCAAAATCATCTTCATCTTTGTTTCTTTCACAATGCCTAGTACCTGATAGGAGCAAAATAAAATTTTTTTACATTTATTTATTTGTTATTTTTGGCTGTGCTGGGTCTTCGTTTCTGTGTGGGCGTTTCTCTAGTTGCAAAGAGTGGGGCTACTCTCTAGTTGTGAGGCATGGGCATCTCATTGCGGTGGCTTCTCTTGTTGCCTAGATGGGCTCTAGGGCCTGCAGGCTTTAGTAGTTGAGGCATGTGGACTCAGTAGTTCGGCTCTCAGGCTCTAGAGCACAAGTTTAGCAGCTGTGGTGCGTGGGCTTCATTGTTACTCAGCATGTGGGGTCTTCCCAGATCTGGGATCGAGTCTGGGTCTCCTGCATTGGCAGGCATATTCTTTACCACTGAGCCATCAAGGAAGCCCTGAAATGAATGTTTAAGTAAAGACAATGAGTGCCTGCACACAGCAAGTGGCAGTTTTGAAACAGGGGATCTCATGCAGAGACCACCTATTTGAGAGTCAGGGCTCAGAGCTGGATGTGAGAATAACCAGGACTGCATATTGAACCTTGATTGAGTAAGGTCTCTGAGCCCCACCCAAAATTTACTGACTCAAGCTCTAGAGTCTGACATCCCCCAGGTCTGTATTTCTAAACACTCTCCAGGAGATTTTTGTGCCCACTAAAGTTTAAGAGCTTTTCCCAAGATACCATGCCAGGTGCCTTACCCTCTGTACTAATTAGGATCCTTTTGAAGCCATAGCTCCGGACACTGAGTCATGCCTTCTGTGCCTACCTGCTCAGTCATGTCTGACTCTTTGCGACCCCATGAACTGCAGCCCGCCAGGCTCCTCTGTTCATGGGATTCTCCAGGCAAGAATACTGGAGTGGGTTGCCATGCCGTCCTCCATTGAATCTTCCCAACCCAGGGATCAAACCCAGATCTCCCGCATTGCAGGCAGATTCTTTCCTGTCTGAGCCACCAGGGAAACCCAAGAATACTGGAGTGGGTAGCCTATCCTTTCTCCAGGGGAACTTCCCAAGCCAGGAATTGAACCGGGATCTCCTGCATCGAAGGTGGATTCTTTACCAGCTGAGCTACCAGGGAAGCCCAAGTCATGCCTTCATCCAAGGCCAAAAGAAAGGGGGAGGTTGGTAGGCTGACTCAGTCATTTTTAGCATGGGGAACACTCTTTCTCCAAGCCTCTAGACAGGCTTGCCTTTACTTCTCATCCTCCACAATGTGTCACATGGCTACTCATAGACCGCTGTGGCAGTTGGAATGGGCTTGCCTTGGTCCAGTCATTCTTTCTTCCTAGGAGAGTCCCACCTTCCTGGTTTACCAAACTCAGGCCCTCAACTCAGGAAGGCTCTCTCAATGAGGAAGGAGGGTGTAATAAAGATTGATACTATTGCTAATCCTGGCAGAA